CCTGTCCTCTCGTCAGGCCTGTCCGAGGCCTGCTTAGAGGCAGTAAATCTTGTTTCTTGACTCGAGGTGACCCCTACACTACATATCCACCCTGAAGGTTAATCTTGGACAATTTCTGATGATCGACTCTTTTAAATGAAATCAGAGAGCGTTGACAGAGAGGAGAAGGTAGAAATGACTCAGCCTGGAACTGAAAATATGGATGGAGGACAACAGAGCTGCTTCATGGAAGAACAACCTCAGCATAATTTGTTAGCCTTCACGCTAGTGCCGATGCTATATTGCCTCATATGTATTAGCTCTGCACTAGCATGACGAACAAGCTAAACTGAGGTCCTCCATCCACATTTTCAGATGCAGGCTGAATCATTTTTGCATCCCCCTCTCTGTCATGTGGATGGAGGATGCCAGTGATGAGAGGAGAATGTGTAGCGCTGAGCTAATACATATATATGGTGATAGCATCGGGGCTAATGCTAAAGCTAACAGGCTAAGCTGAAGTTTTTCTTCCATAAAGCAGCTCTGTTGTCCTCCAGCCTTATTTTCAGTTCCAGGCTGAGTCATTTCTACCTTCTCCTCTCTGTCAACGCTCTCTGGTTTCATTTACAAGAGTCGATCATCAGATATTGTCCAAGATTAAACTTCAGGGTGGATATAGCTCGCTAGCAGCCTTGCACCAAGGACCTATCCACATCATCATTTACTCGGAATGCTTTACGTGAAACTAAAATAGCCCTGTCCATGTAATATATTTTTAAACTTTTAGTTTGAAAATTATAAAAACTCAACAGCCTACAGTATTTTTACAGTCTTTATTTGACAGTTAAAATATATGTTTATCAAATAAAGTCTAATGTTACAACTAATCATGGATCCCTTTAAATATTTTAAGACTGATTACGTACCAACGCTTTTTTCCAGTGTTTTAACGGTCATCTGTATCTCTTCATGAATTCTCTCCTCCATGGATTTCTTCCCCAGACCGAAGTTTCTCAGAGTCATCAGAGAGAAACGACGATGTTCCCTCCAAACAGGCCCGTAATCTACCAGAACCACTCCTAAATAGGCAAAGCAACAAAACTAAGAGCTTTAACCTGCTGCAGCTAATTAATTTAATCACTTATACAATCCTCTTAAAGGTGTTTCTTAATAATTCTTTATACTTTTACAGCCTTTTGATGCTTCTGATACAATTTTGTTGAGATGTATTCCCAGCCAGCACATGTATGGGGCCCCATATAGGATAAATAAAGGCAAGTGACGGAGGTTATATCCAAATGAGTTTATTTGCGGGATCCATGGTGACACTACAGTGGTTTGCCCACATAGAAACTTTAACTGCAACTTAAAATTTCAAGGCAATGAACTTCTGAAAAATTTTAAATGAGATATCGTGAAACTTAAAACTGCCTTTACATTAAAAAATGTACAATTTCTTGGTTTTAATATTTTATGYGTACTATGTTTCAGTGTGAATAATTGTTTAAATAATGTCCAAATTTGTCAAACTTATGGTTGACTGTTTTTGCATCTAAACTGATCTTTAATACAACAAATGCTCCTAATGTGGTTTTGTAACATTCCCTACCTTTACGCTGAACTATATCACAAATAAACATGTCTTGAGGTCGACCAGCATAGTCTGCAGCTTTAACCAACATGGCCTCCTTCATTGCCTTCAACCCATTGATGACCACAGCTGGTCTGGTACCAAGGAACAGACTGTAGACATTTCCATAGGTCTGCCTGACCTGCAAGAAAACCAAACAAAAACAAACAATATATCAATTTCTAAAGAAATATTTTGTATTCTGATCTGTTCTGAGGGAAATTAAACAGCAGAGTTAATTATTTCCTGTTTTCCATTATAGCAGTCAATTTAAAGAACCAGTTGAAAATAAAATCACATTAAGTAAAAAAAATAGTCCAACTTATTCAGCAAATTGCATCACATTTGGCGTCAAAGATTAAATGACTGCAGACTCTTTGTACAATGATTTTCAGGGTGTGATTCCAAAACCAGCCAAAGTTCAAACAAAACCCTTAAAAGACCTTCAGACAACACAAACAACTCATGACCAAAATACTTGTAAGGCACATTTGATAAAAATGAGGGATGATTTTATTTTTCAATTAATTACATTTTAATATTCTGCATATTTACAGTTACTTTTTATTAATTTCACTGCAAACAGATTCAAAATATAAAAACTGAGGGACAGTCCATTTTTTTAAATCAACATAAAATCAAAGCACTATCAGTGCAAATAAAACCAAATGTTCTGATTTCACTGCATTTTTGTGCAGCGACCATAAAAACTTTACAATTAAATTTTTCTAACAAAATTATTAATTCATAGACGAAATTTAATTGCACCACACTGTATACTTCTCTTAGTGCTGCTGCAGAGAAACTGGTGCCTTAAAACTCAGGAAAATATAAACATTATAAAAATATCTATTTTCTGATGACTCATTAAAGGTAGATAAAATTCACCTGTAATCCAGAATAAAAATTAACTGTCCTCAGTTCTGTCAACATTTGAATTTATTAAAATGATAAAAACATGTTATTTTGTTTTGAAAATTATATATTAAAGAAATACATAAAAAATAAATTCTATAATTTGATATCTTTTCTTTTTCAAGTTCCTTCAGGGGGTTCTTTGAGGCCAGATGCAAGAAGTTCCCCAGAATCGGCAGGATGGGGGGTCCTGGTGGGAAGTTCTTGGGTCTCCGAGCTTTAAGCTGAAAGAGGATTAAGCAGAAACAGAACCACAGCAGAACTATGGAGACAAACATGGTGCTGGACTGGACTCAACTCTGGTGGCTCTGGTTCTGAAATTTGACATTTTCTTATCAAATGGAGCGAGGACATCAAACACACAAATGATTGATAAAAAATCAGGAAGTGAGATATTCCTGTGTCATAAGGGGGCGGATCCTCAACAGCTTTCTGATAACCAGTCTTATCTTATTTTGCCGGGGCCTCTAATAACAAATGTATAAGATCTTTAAGTATCCCATAATGTTAATGTTGTACTGTATGTACATATTGTTATCCAACTCAAAATGGATCCCTTTACTTTATATCTTTTTCTATTAACTTTAATGTAGTCCACCCAGCAGAGCCTGATACACATACAAATTATATATATTTATTAAAACATAGACCTTTCCATCTTTCAGTCAAAGAACACTAAATTTTCTTACAGTTTAGTAGATGGTTTTCTTTTATACCACTTTTTGTTCTCGTCTTCTCCATGAGAAATTTCTCTGACACTGCGGTTCCAATCAGGATTAATGAGTGTTTTTAACTTGTTAAATCTCTTACATAAAGCGCTGTAAAAATGTTAATATTTAAATTAGTTAGAACCAATATCTTTGCTCTCTCACAGTTTAGATTTGACACACAAAGCAAATCTCTGTGCAACTTTCTCAGCCTCAGTGAGATCAGTGAGGATTTGATGAGATGATCAGGAGAAAAATATGGAACACAGTCAGAGGATCTTTGGAGTTTAAATATATTTGGAAAAAGTTTAGATTTCAAGCTTCTAAGTTAACAAGTGAAATCCCCCAAGGAATTGTGTCCAAAAGACTTGACAATGACCAGATTATTATTTAACTAATCAGTTCTTTCATAATTTTCTGCAGAGCGTCTGCACCTCCTCACTGTTCAGACCTCAGCTGGACCTTCATCATTTAAGGTTTTGGAGTCAACGTTACCCCAAAAACCATAGTGAAGTCTGGTTCTCCAGCATCCTCCGGCCAGATGAACTTAAACTTCCTCAGCAGGGTCACCGTCATGAGGAGCAGCTCCATACGAGCCAGACCCTCTCCCAGACACATCCGAGGACCTGAGATACCAGAAAATGAACCAAAGTTCTTGTCTGATCTAATAAACTCTGTCCCTGTAATCCAGGTCTGAAAGTAAAGTGTTTCACTGGTTTACCTGCAGAGAATGGCATGAAGGCCTCTGGTTTGACAAACTCTCCCTGCTCGTTCAGGAAGTTCTCAGGACTGAACTCGTGAGGGAACTTCCACTGACCCTACTCCCTCAGCACTGACTCCATATTCTGGATGATTAATGTTGCCTCAAGGGAAACCAAAGCTACCCCAGTTACCACTACTGTGCATGTGTGTCAAGGACAGAAAGGCAGATGTGGCAGTGGAAGGTGTCAAAGCAGTTTGGAGAGAAAAACAAAATAAAAACAACAACAACAACAAAAAAAGAAAACGATTAATCGATTATTAAATTAGTCGTCGAATATTTTAATAATCGATTAGTCATCGATTAATCGATTAATTGTGGCAGCCCTATCTTGCAATAAATAATTTTAGGTATCATATAGAAAGAAATCTTAGAAAAGTTGCAGTTTATCTGATAGAAACACATTCAGACATGCCTCTCAGATTAACCATTCAGATTAACAGAAAAGGTGTGGGATGATGCTCATCACCTGCACGTAAGGCATGTTGTGTCTGTCCTCAAAACTGACCCGATCCCTCCCATCCAGAACTCGATCGATCTCCTGCTGACAACGATCTGATGGGGCAGAAACTGTTTTACACATTTTACCTGCAAAATGCACTGCCAGCCAAAAAAATATCTCCAACTGGATTTAAATAAGCTCTATGATGTGGGGTTGCTGCAGGTGGTCAGGTCTAGCTTTAGCCACAGAATGAGCTCCAAGAATGAGGTCAGCTGACTACCTGTATATACTGAATGACCAGGTTATTCCATCAACAGATTGTTTCTTCCCTGATGGCACGGCCATATTCTAAGATGACAATGCTAGGATTCACCAGGTTCTTATTGTGAAAGAGTGGTTCAGGGAGCATGAGACATTTTCACACATGGATTGGCTCCACAGAGTCCATGGAGAACCTTTGGGATGTGCTGGAGAAGGTCCGACTCTACCATCATCAAAGGTCCTAGGTGAGGGATCAGACAAAGTGCAGGCCAAAGACCCCTATGATGAGTAGCACAAAAGGTTTAAGTGTTCCCTCACCTGGACGCAGGTCACCGGGGCCCCACTCTGGAGCCAGGCCTGGAGGTGGGGCACGTTGGCGAGTGCCTGGTGACCGGGAATCCACCCATGGAGCCCGGTCGGGCACAGCCCAAATAAGAAGACATGAGTATCCCTTCCCATGGGCTTACCACCTGTGGGAGGGGCCGTATGGGTCGGGTGCAATGTGTGTTGGGCATTGGTCGAAGGCGGGGACCTTGGCGGTCCGATCTTCGGCTTCAGAAGCTGGCTCTAGGGACATGGAATGCCACCTCTCTGGTGGGGAAGAACCTGAGCTGGTGTGTGAGGTTGAGAGTGTAATAACTCACTCTATGAAATTAAGGCCAGCTCAATTCCACAAAATAATATCTTACGCAAGATCTTTGCATTATGAAATCAAAGTGAAATGACAAGATATCAACCCTGATCATGAAAGTGAAATGAAAACTTGTGACCTGAACGTATTTCCAAAATAAAGTAATT